CCGAACTCTTTTCAAAAGGTTTAAATTCGGCTGCTGCAGCGGAGGACAGTTAGTGCCGCAGAGGTAAGAAGAAAACAGAAAATACAGCTAGCACAAGTCATTTTCACACTACTTCTGCCAATTAGCTCCTGTGTTTTTTGTTTTGTTTTTTTTGACGGTAACGTTAGCCTACATTGTATTAAACAGTTGTAAGCTTAGCGTAGAACCCCAGTTCAGTCTAGGGCTGCACGATATTCCAAAATTAATTACGAATTGCAATATTCTTAGTGCGATTTTGGAATCGCAATTAAGTCCGCGATTTAAAACGTGCATTGGGTGTTTTAAAGTGCGGGCTCGCACGAGTTGTAATAACAGTAAGGGTCTCAGAGCGACGTCATTATTAAAAGGCTCGATCGGTCCACATTATTAATAGGAAGAAACTCGCTCACTTCACTGCGCTGTATGATTTATTTAACCATTGCAAAAGTACATTTCTGACTGAAGTAAATTTGTCATCTCAGTTTTTAGTGTTTATTTAAAATGAGACGCATCTGTTTATTATTCGCTCTCCCCTACACACACGGAAGGAGCATGAATGCATTTTCTGCGCTGAACCTCGCGATGAGTTTAACAACCCTCACAGCGGATTACAGTTCACCAGAGTGAGCGTGTTTCGAGTTTTTATGGACATGTTTCATATTTTAACATCTTTAAACAGAAATTAAAACGTAAATATTAGTAGTGAAATTGTTCAGTTGTACTATAAAATAAAATTGTTATTTTTCTTAAATAATTCATTTCTGCCATATTATACTTTTAATTAAGATTAAGCTTAAAGTAGGCTAAAGTCAAGGCTTTTGCAACGAAACACACAGCGTCTCCACGACATGGTGGCAGCAACAATACTACAGCTAGAATCAACGTTACGCCTTCTTTCTTTGCGTGAACATTTAGGCGGCGTTATGCAAATCTTCCCACATCGTGACGTAGACATGTGGGGGCGTGTTTAAACGAGGCGTTTTAGGAGGGTGTGGACCAGTCTTAACTTTTATAAAGAATATCTCTTTGGGTTTGAGACTTTAGTCTTTGCAACTTTAAGGATCTTATCTATTCACGAACAGCTTGTAACACTCCAAAGAGAAAGGAAAACTTGAAATCGCATCATATGACCCCTTTAAAACTCATGGCTTGTTGTGGACGGTGTCCACCTTTGCTTCTAATGACTATAGGTCAGGCAATTGGGTGGAACAAGAGTGACAGATCACTCAGATCACAGTTCGGATGCTACTTGCAGTAGTGCCCTTTAAAACAGAACTAAATGACACTCTGATGCTGGAATGGCAGCTTTTTGGTGCTCATTAGTCGGTAGCTTAGTGGTTAAGACTCTGGTGGAGTAATGGAAAGGTCATGGGCTTGATCTCAGGTTGGAATGGCCTGTGAATTGGACAGTTCATGTGTGAACTGGTATTCTGATTGTGTCTAGGCACTTAACTCAGACGGTGTCTCTAGGGAAACTGCTTCGCTTAGTGAACTGAATGTCGCTTTAGATCAAATGCACCTGCTAAATGAAAAGAAACCTTAACCTCATCTGGATTTTTCATTGGATGATGCCATTATCCAATGATCAGTATAATGTATTTTTCTTTCCTTTTTTTATTATTTTATTTATTTTACTTTTGTTTTCTTTGTTTTTTGCTTCTCTTCTCCTTTCTTTTTGTTTCTTTTCTTTTTTCCTTTCTTTTTTCATTTTGTTTCTTTTTATTCTTTTTTCTTTTTCTTTGTTTCTTCAGTTTCTTTTTCTTTTTCTTTTTACATCTCTTTTTCTTGTTCTTTTGTTTGCTTTTTTCTTTTCTCTTCTTTTTGTTTCTTTTCTCTTTTCCTTTCTTTTTTCTTTTTATTCGTTTTCTTTATTTCTGATTCTTTCTTTCCTTTTCTTTTCTTTTTACCTCTATTTCTCTGTTCACATTTTTCTTTCATTCATTCTTTCTTTCTGTTCACATTTTTCATTCATTCTTTCTTTCTGTTCACATGTTTTTATTTCTTTCTTTCATTCTTTCTTTCGTCTGTTCATTCATTCGTTCCTTCTTTCTTAATTCATTCCTTCCATCCTTCCTTCCAAACTTTCAACTTTCCAAACTTCCAACCAGGAGTTCTTGGAAATATTTTGAAGTTAAACATTTTGCTATAAAACTGAAATTCTAAAATTATGAACTGAATAAAAAAAAGATTGTTGTCCTGTCTACACATAATGTATTCTAATAAACAGATGATCAAAAACAAATAATTTTCAATGTGATCATGTTTTTTTAGGGTGAAGTGTGTAATTTATGTGCCAGTAGTGGCACCAGATTGAACTGCAAAATAATTTTAAAAAAATTCCCATTTAAAAAATAAAAATAAAAAATTACACACATCATCCTTAAGGAGAGAAAATTAAATGTTAGTCATTTAATATAATTAAATTATTATTATTTAACTTACATATTACATATAAAATACATGAATATAATACATTATATTTCATAAAAATACACAGCAAATCTGCATTAATTCAACATAACTTTACCTACACTTTATACAAGTGTACACAACTGGCTAAGACGTACAATCACTAAAACCATTTATGTTGCCTGCATAGTCTGTGGAGTCAGGTTAACTGACTACTTTATCCTACTTTAACAAAAAAACAAAGTGCAACAACATCATCATCGGAGTCGCCCCACTGTTGATATTTTGGATAGAAAGGTTAAGTGCGCATTAGCTTGCAGAAAAAGATTAGAACCAGCAACTCACATGCAAATTATTGTTCTCATCATGAGCTGTTTGACGCTTTATAACCTGGTGCTACAACAGAGAGATCACTGTCATAATGAAGTGACAAGAACGCAGCACATTTGTGTCTTTGGGGTTGTTCTGAACAATTGCCAACAGCTTTTTATCAGTGGGCAGATTCCAGGGCATTCAGGCTGGTCTTTGATGTTGCTCACTTCTAAAGATATAGCATATTAGCATCCCTGGTGTGTTCTGTGTCTTTGTGTATTCCAAACGGTCCAAAAAAATGAAAAGCTCTCTGTTCCTGAGGGGCTACACTCCTGTGATGTCAAGCTCAGGAGAAACAATAAAATGACGTCTCAGCCCCGCGGTAGTTTCACCCCAGGTGGCCGGTGCCTTGTTCATTCTTAATTAGAAACTGTTAAGGCAAAGTGTACAAACAGTGCGAGCACAAGTTTCTAATACTGGCTTCTTTTCAATCTCACTAAGTTGACCTTTCAAAAGATGGCACTAGCAGGGAAAGGGCCCTCGTGTTCCAGATGACTTGATTTTTATATGGCACCAGGGAAAGGAGGGTGTTGACTTGCGCTTGATGCGGTGGGACTGAATTGTGGAGATTTTACAGCACACTTTAAGGGAACCGTGAGTACTCTCTGCCTGAGTGGAGCCCTTTAGGCTGGGTTTAGGTACCAACGTCATTGACATGATGAAAGCATGAATGAACAGGTAACAAGCTCTTTTGTGTCTGGATAACAGAAGCTTCAAATGACAAGGAATAACAACCAGTGAAGCTTTTACTTAAAACATTCACCAAGGCTGTCAAAAATGAAAATAAAAAAAAATACAGTAAAAACAGCGATAATGTAAAATATTATTACAGTTTAAAGTAGGTTTTCTGTTTGGATACATTTTAAAATGTAATTTATTCCTGTGATGCAAAACTGAATTTTTAGCAGTCATTACTCCAGTCTTCAGTGTCACATCATCCTTCAGAATTCATTCTAATATGTTGAAAGCAGTTGTTTTACTTAATATTTTTGTGGAAACCATATACATTTTTTTTTTCAGGATTCTTTGATGAATAGAAAAGCGGCTGTCATGGTTCTGATTAGGGTCTTTGCAACAGCATGATTTATTTTAATTACATGAAAATTGATATGAATCAAAATTTGGTATTTAGGTGCTCACATAGTCCTTCATCTTATGCTTGAAGAAATGTCAGTTTACTCAAAATATTACAAGGAACATTGGATAGGAACAAGCAGCATGGTCAGAAACACTATATATATTATATGTTCAGTACAAAGACTAGTTATGAAACTTTGCCTGAAAATTATTCATTAAAACTAAGCTTTTTATACTATTTTCTGAATAAAATGTGTGTGTTCTGCCACAGTGTGTGTTGTGGGTGGTTGCCAGGGCATTGCAATGGTTGCTAAGATGTTCTGTCTTTTAGTATGTTGCTATGTGGTTGCTAGGGTATTCTAGATGCTGCTAGGTGTTTGCTTACTGGCCCAAGAAAAAGGTCCCACCACTTCTATTGATTCTCTATAATATTCCTTCAGTTGGATTGTGGTTTTATCTATTTTATTGTCCTGAAGTATGAGCAATAAAAATAATAATGATTAAATAATTATTATTATTTAAAATTTATATTTTTGTCAGATCATATATTGACTCTGCATTTTCAATATCCCAATAGGACTACATGGATGCCTTGATCTCCAATTACTATGTAAGTGTTTTCCTGCTGTGCTTGACGCTCTTTTCTTTTCTTTTTTCTCTTTTTTTTTTTTAGTTCATTCAGTAATGTTCTATGTAATGCAACATCTCTTCATTTCTCCAGCTTTGGCCTCCGGTGCAGATCGCCAATTTTTATTTCATCCCTCTCCACCACAGGTAAAACCATCCTTTTTAGCCTCAAAAGTCAAGTGATCATTGATAATGATAATGCATCCATTGCAGCAGGGCACTAATCCAGCAGTTTAAGGGCGGCACTGGGTAAAGAACATGCAGGACGTGCCTCAGCAACACAGTGTATGGCATAGCAGCATTATGAAAGGTTATTAAAGGGAAGGAAGCGGAGAAACGTTTGAAATCATTTTAATTAGGCTCTTATTTTCATTTTGACTATTGGGAATTTTTAAAACAGATTTTTTTTTTTTCTGTTTGTGTGTTTGATGTTACTGCTTTCTGGCACCTGAACTTCCACACGGGGATTAACAACTAGAGTCAGTCTGTCTATCTGTCGCTCTCCCCCCCTCTCTCTCTCTCTCTCTCTATATATATATATATATATACACACACACACACACACAGGGGACTCATTTATAAAATGTGTGAAAATGACACAGTGCATGCTGGGACACAGCGGAAGCCGATAGAGTCAGTCTATCTGTCGCTCTCCCCCCCTCTCTCTCTCTCTCTCTCTATATATATATATATATATACACACACACACACACACACAGGGGCCTCATTTATAAAATGTGCATATGCACAGATTTGATTTTAGAGTGTACGTACGCTAAAATCCACGGCAACGTTCATATTTATAAAAACGGTCTTTGACGTGGAAAAGTACTTTACGTCAGGGTCTGAGCAGGCATACGCACTATTCCTTGTGGCAAAGTCGGAGTACTGCAGCTATTGGAACATCTAAGCTGCAATAATAATAAAAGCGGTGTACGTGCAAGCACCGAATTCATCATAAACAACAAAAATACAGTGTAGTCAGATTTTATATTAATGGGAGTTTTTGCGAGATTAAACTGACCTTTTTAGTAGCCTAATGTTGAGAGTGCTTTACTCGCTTTCTGTACACAGTTTATTCCATGCTGTTTTTTCATTATTTTATTTTACAAGAGAACTCGCGAAGTCTTGATTTACTACTAATGCGTAAAATAGAAAAAAAAAAATGCATAAATGCATCTCCGACTGTTTTGTCTGTGTAGCCTATAAGAATAGGCCTATGTCATGCAATAACGGTTTTAATATATTCTATTCAAGAACATTGCTAACCGTTTTTATTTATAACAGCTGCTTTGTTTCTGTGAAAATGAATAGACATCAGCCTTAAACTTTGTTTTTGTCATTTACATCAGTTATATTTGTATAAAATACACTATATATTTTCAGCACATTAATGGCACATTTGAGCAGCATTAGTAAACTGTGTAAATATAAAGAAATGCCAAATCACAGGCAGGTTTTTTCAGACCGGAGCCCATAGTTGTGT